TGCACTGTTACTGCCAATGTCGCCATTATCGTTCGACTTCAGTGGCAGTGACAATCGACCTACGATTTACGATTGGGAGTTACACTGCACCACTAAAGTCCTACAATGGTATCCATTAGCCAGTGCCTGAGCAGAACAACAATATCACCATTGACATTTATCGATCAGTCTCACTCTCTCCTCCTTTATCTTTTCCTGCGTCTTTTCACTTGCATTGTGTGGAGAATGCTACTTTCTGAATGATCTGCTTGAATAGCTGTAGTTGTTGTTTGTTTCGCCGATGATTGCTTATCCACTTTCTCCACTTGGTCAGCTTTTTTGCATACTTTTCCGTAGAAGTGCGCCGCCACTCACGTGGTTGTCCTCGCTACATGTGCTTAGTACATGAGTAGCGAAACGAAGAGCACAGCAGTGTCACAGCAGTGGCAACTGTCAAGTGGATTATTAATTAGGTGACCAATTAAGCGGCATNCTTGGTCAGCTTTTTTGCATACTTTTCCGTAGAAGTGCGCCGCCACTCACGTGGTTGTCCTCGCTACATGTGCTTAGTACATGAGTAGTGAAACGAACAGCAGTGGCAACTGTCAAGTTGATTATTAATTAGGTGACCAATTAAGCGGCATTGTCGCTAGGTGTATGTACTTTTTGTCATTTGCACGCAACGGCGCAACTTTCTCTTCACTTGACTGTAGAGTGCAGCGACAACTGCAGAGGAGCACCTCCAGCTCAAGCACTACAACTCATTGTCGATAGAAGACGGACAACTCTTTTTTCCAGTCAATTCAAATGACACCCAGTGAGTGACGGAGAGAGAAGACGAAGAAGACAATCAGAGGGACACAATGCATCCATTCGTTACTTCTCAGCGCGTCAATCCGCTTGATCGTGGCCAATTGAGTGTTGCGTAATCAGCCCAGCTGCAGCAGCGGCAACAACGACACCCGACGAAACGCCTTGTCGCATCGGTGAGCGCCGTACACTGGCCACTGCAGTGTTGCCTGGGAATGGCTGGCCTGGCCTGCTGGTCTGTGTGCATCGTGACAAGTGGTGCAAGACGAAGGTGTAGTGTCCTATGGTGTCCAGCTGGCCATAAGCTCTTCTGGCCGACACCACTCACCACCACCGGAAAAGGCAGCCAAGAAGACGGAGGTGAGGGAAAGGTGAGCCAGAGAGACTGCTGTTTTGTCAATTGAAATGTAAAGTTTTCTACGCTTTCATTTGCTTATACATTGGCGGCTCGCCAACAAAGTCAGGCAGTCAAAGTGAAAGAACAACGAGACTGATCGGAAAAGTTAGCTACACTTAATCGGCCTAATTATCATTAGATGGTCGCCTTGTTGTTTGCTCTGCTGTCTCTGCCGTGTTGTAGGCAACACTGCAACTAATAAGTAAACTGCTGCATATATGCAATTTGAAGCCTGTGTCTGTGTGCCTTTGTCTGTGCTCCGAAGTTCAGTACAGTTCACTTCAGTGCCGTCAGTCAGCGTGTGTTTCAGTCACTCTTGATCAACCAAGGCTGCAAACTTTAACCAGCACTGTAATCACTGAACGTTGTCGCAGGTTGCTGCTCTGCTGCTGCAGCTCGGTTGCAGCCTTCTCACTCCCTCGCCAGAATTAGGTTCGCATGACCACTGGAAACCACTGTCATTACTGCTGATGATGATCCTATTACCCGGAGCCATGTGGCAGAAGTTGCACCAGGTAGCTAAAGTGTGATCGCCGCTGCTGCTGCTGCGGCTGTCGCCTGTGACCACCCTCATGACGTCAGCACAAATCGGCGTGTCGGTGCGGTTAATGAGCTCACCCAAATGAATTGCTCATTTGGCAACACTTTCTACATTAGCTGAGGCACAAATACATTGGAAATTACCCCCGCTGTGAATTACAGCAGTTCCCGGTCCCGGAGCAGCGTGTTCGACCCAAGTAGAGCAGTGCACGCTGATGACCTTGTTGCAGCACTCACTCACTCACTCACTCATTCACACTTCACACACTGCACTGTTGTTTTAACTATGTGCTGTTCCAAGTGAATAGCAATAAGCTGTCGTCCTAAATAAAGCAAAAACAATTTGTTATTCTCCAATTGGCAGTACACCAAACTTTTTTTGGTTGCTGTTTTTTCTCTAAATTAACAAACACACTGTGGTGGCGGACAGCGAAGAAAAAAGCACACTCACGCAAACAGCCAATTGTGTGCTGCTTGTCTATCGTTTGCCCTGTCTTATCGGACAGTCTGATAAGGGCCTTCAGCTCTGCTTATCAGTGATATCGTAGATAGATATGAACTGCAGATAGCAGTGATGTAGGGTTAGGGCAGAGTGGAAGACAAACATAGTGATTCGATTCAGTCGACTTCAGCCTGACTGACTGCGTCAGTTTTTTGCGCAGTTGTCAGTCCAATCACCATAATAAGTAGAAAACATGAAGAAACTCGCCAATTACCTGCCGGCGATGTTTCCCTCTTTGAAATTGATTTTCTGCCTTTCCCTACTCCTCCTTCCACTCATTGACCGCACTGAATCGGTTAGAATTGAGGTGGAAAATCTGCCTGAACGATGTGACTTTTCCAAGTGCGCAGCAGTGAGTGACCGCCAGCTCAATGTTCATCTGGTTCCGCATACACATGCAGACGTCGGCTGGCTGAAGGTACCGCCCGAATCGAGATTCCACCAAAGAAGCCTAAAACTGACCTATTTCTTTAGACCGTAGACCAGTACTACTATGGATCCCGGTCGGATATTCAGAAGGCCGGCGTACAGTACATTTTGGATTCAGTAGTGCAGGCACTGGTCCGTAACAAGGACCGTCGGTTCATCTTTGTGGAGACGGTTTTCTTTGCAAAGTGGTGGCAGGAACAGGACGAGCAGACAAAGGCCGTCGTCAAAGAGCTAGTCAACACCGGTCAGCTGGAGTTCATCGGCGGTGGGTGGACTATGAACTGCGAAGCCACGACACATTACAGCTCCATCATTGACCAGATGACACTTGGCCATCAATGGCTAAATGAGACGTTCGGCCACTGCGCCACGCCAAGGGTAGCCTGGCAAATTGATCCTTTTGGGCATTCACGCGAGCAGGCAAACCTTTTTGCGCAAATGAACTTTGATGGTCTCTTTTTTGCTCGCATCGATTTTGAGGATCACACCTTCCGACGAACGGAGAAGACAATGGAGCACGTCTGGCATGGCAGTGACGATCTGGGCGCTGGCTCTGATCTATTTACCAGTGTCATCAACAACGGCTATGGTAAAACACAGCAACTACTTTGCAGGCAAACTTTTGTAACTTTTTTGTTGCATTTAAGGCCCACCTGAAGGCTTCAACTGGGACCTGATTGGCGGCGAAGACGAACCAGTGATTGACAACATCCAGTCGGAGGAGTACAATGTCGATGCCATTGTGGAGAAGTTTGTCACTGTTTCCAAACGGTACAGTCTAATCTACGCCACCAATCACATTCTCTTTCCAATGGGTGAAGACTTCAACTACCAGTCAGCTGGAATTTGGTATAAAAACCTGGATAAACTGATCAAGCACGTCAATCAGCGACAAAATCAAGTGCGTGTCTTCTACTCGACGCCTTCCTGCTACCTGAAGGCACTGCACGACACTGGACACGTCTTCACCACAAAGGAGGACGACTTCTTTCCCTACTCCAGCGATCCGAACGCCTTCTGGACTGGATACTTCACCAGTCGACCTACGTTGAAGCGATTCGTGCGTGTGGGCAACAACTGGCATCAAGCGTGTAAACAACTCGATGTTCTGGCGGCTCACGAAGGCGCCTTTGAGT